CCAATAGAAGAAGAAGAAGGTGTGCTTGTTCCATATGTTATATTTCTTAAGAAGGATGGGAATTTTAAAGAGAATTTAGGTTTTTTATAATTATATTTAGCTATATGCTATATGTATGTATGATAATATAAGGATAGAAATTAGATTCTGATCCATACTCCATTTCAGAAGGTGGCGGGAAGTTGTTTGCCGACCGCCAAATAAAAACCAATAGAAGAAGAAGAAGGTGTGCTTGTTCCATCTGGAAGGTTTTGCTGTGAAGTAAACATGCGGTCAAATGAGCTCTCCATGCAGGTGAAACAAGCCATCCTATAGCTGCGAAAAAACAAACAAACAAACAATAAATTCGGAGAATTTTCTTCAATATTTGTAGTGGCAAAGACTCACTGGTGAACTCATCAATGCAAAAAGACCTGGGCGTCCACAGAAAACAGGGGTGGATGATTGCAGAATAATCTCCATGGTGAAGAGAAACCCCTTCACAACACCCAACCAAGTGAACAACACTCCCCAGGAGGTAGAAGTATAAATATCCACATCTACCATCAAGAGAAGACTGCATGAAAGTAAATACAGAGGGTTCACTGCACGCTGCAAGACACTCATAAGCATCAAGAATAAAAAGGCTAGACTGGACTTTGCTGAAAAACATCTAAAAAAGCAGCAGAGTTCTGGAAGAACATTCTTTGGACAGATGAAACCAAGATCAACCTCTACCAGAATGATGGAAAGAGAAAAGTCTGGTGAAGGCGTGGTACAGCTCATGATCCAAAGCACCACATCATGTGTAAAACACAATCTGTGGACACAGTGTGATGGTCTGGACATGCCAGTGGCACTGGGTCTCTAGTGTTTATTGATGATGTGGTAATGTACTGATCCAAAATCATAATGTTGTCTCTGTCCAAGTAGACTTGGACCTAACTGTAGATGTCTTCAGTGTGCAGGAGATGAAGGACAGCAAGGCTCACAGCTTTGGAGCAGGGTTTAAGTCTGTGTCAGACAGAGTGCCATGTCTGAAGGTCTGATGTTGAATGTTTGTAGTTCTGATCCACAGGCTGGATGTGAGGCAGAGGAAGAGTGTGAAGTGGGTTAGGCTCATTAAAGACAAGTGTTTCAACAGGAGGAGGGGAGGGTGATGGACAGACGGACAGAGTGAGTTGAGGAGTGCTGGTGTCCATTTTAAGGAACAGGATGATGAACAGAGCTGAAGCTACAGGAGGGTGAAGATGATGAGTCACGTGATGAAGATCTGGTGTGAAAGCTACAGCAGACTTACAGAGGAGGCTGTGTGAGGGGCAGGATGGTTTCATGGCAAGACTGAACTTCATCGTGTCTTTGTGGATTTAGAAAACATGACTGTTGGGGATTTTTATGCTTTATTATTTTATCACTTTGTATTACCATGCTGTTTGTTCACTCTGTTCAAAGTTTCCACTGTCTCGCACAGACGATTTGTGGTGAGCACCTGCCGTGCAAAACAGGAAGCTGTTCTTGCACACCCCCTACGCGCTGTTACCGGAACACTTTGCACACACAACTCACTTCTTGTTTTTTGACATCTGTATCTCCCATAAATGGTAACTGAATGAAATACGATCACTTGATTGGTTAAAGTGTTATTTCCTGTGTGCTTGCTTCTAATAAACTAGCAAGACACTGAAGCAAGGTTAGCGCTTCCTCAACCCTTGGCCTGAACAAAGCTAGGTATTGATCGAATCTCCCCCTTTGCAAAGGTTGTTGACCCACAAAAAAACTCAACTCACTTGTCTGTGTTTCTGGTTATTTATTTAAGGTGTATTTAGGTAAAAATACCCAACAATGACAGGTTGGGTTGTACGAGGACAGATAGCTTAAAGGATAATCTCTGATGTCCTTGCTGATCTGGTGATGGACAGACTGACAGATAAAGACAGATAGGAATCCTTGTGGACTCTGATGTCTGCAGAGGACATTATGATCTGTGATGAGAACAGGGAACAGGTGGAAGAGAACCTGAAGAGGTACAGGTGTGAACTTAACAGAGGCAGGTGGATCAGTGAGGAGCAGAGGTCAGGACTTCAAGGACTGAAGGGTTCAGAAAGATTTTAACCCTCCTGCTGTCCTTGAGGTAAAATCATTAGCTTATGAGTTTTATTTATCCTTAATAACTTGTTGTTATGAAGTATGATGACTGAAGGATCAGTCATCCATTCATCCTGTCACCACCTGAGACAGAGGCATGGTGTCAAATAAAAAATATTCCATGAAGCAGCAACTAAACCAGTGTTTCTCCAGTGAACATGTTGGAACAAGTCCTTTTTTATTTTCCTCGTCACCTCTGAAAGGAGGACCGTCAGAACCTGACGGCCTGATGTTCCTCTCCCATGCCCTGAGATTTAACCTGCGAGGCGGATCCTTCAACTTAGTCTGTTTCATGTTGGGGCCTCCAATAAGCCGTGTGGTATTTGGACCTCCCAGCTGGGCCCAGACCGGGTCACACAGCATTATCATGGCCCGCTGAGACCCTCTGAGGAGCTCCCTGCTGTCAGTAACAGTTCCACAGGAGGTCCCACCCCCCAGAGTCCTGTCCTACCTGTGTTTTCTTCATCAACCTCGTTAGACACGCTCATCCTACTGC